CTACAGGGTCAGTTCTACGCTGCCCTACAGTCAGAATCAATTCTATGGTAGCGAGTTCTACCTTTTATTGCCCCCTGTAAAAGGGAGGGTAGATCAGACCCGGGCTAAAATCTAAGGGCATGCAACAGAACAGCAAGGGGAGCAAAAATAATTAAGTCCCCCGGGAATACCAAAAATAGACTGTGGGGCCAGGGTGTAGCCCCCACCAGACTCACCCAGAAAACACTCCTAAAGGTCAACAAAAAGACCTTAAAGTATTTATAGACTTGTCTTTTTTTGTTGGCGGTTTTTTGTTGTTTTGTTTTGTTGCTTTGTTTTGCTCTGTCTTGTTTTTTTGCTTATTATTGTCTCTGCAGTTCTATCTAGATAAGATAGGGAGGATAAACAAGCTGGAGGAGAAAACAACAGGACCTACAGTTCGGAGGACATGGGAGAGGGGGAGGCTGGGGGAAAGGAAGTGGGTGTTAACAAAACCAGGGACAAGGGAACAACTAGTGATCTAAAATCCATGGTGAGGAGCATGTAGGATGCCTGGTAGGGCTGATGAAGGGCAATGTAATCGAAAGGAATTACCAAAACCCGAATGAAGGCTGAACATGATAGTGGGACACGAGGAAAGTAAAAGGAAATACAGGAAAGAACTAGGAAGCAAAGGGCATTTATAGAGGTCTAAATTCAGGTATGAACATATGTAAACATATTCCTATATAATGATAGGGAAATAGATCTATGTACTTATATTTGTAGGTTTAGTATTAAGGTAGCAGACAGACATTGGGTCTATACTCAAGTACTCCCTCAACCCAGGAACACTTTGTTCTAATAACCTGGCATTCTGTGATGCTCACCTTTCCACCAGGATTGCTGAAGATAAAGGGGATGCATAAGCAAATGTGGATAAGAAAGCTAATGGTGCCTGACTATCAAAAGATATAGTACCTGGGGTCTTATAGGCTTGAAGATAAACAAGTGGCCATCCAGCTGAGAAGCAGCAAAGCCCACATGGAAGAAGCACACCAGCCTGTGTGATCATGAGGTGTT